TCTGCTTCAAATTGCCTTCTGGGAGTTTGAAGATAGCCTGGTTTGCCTCCAGGTGTAATATAGATAAATAGCATTTATTACGCAAACACAGTATATAAATTACCTGAACCTTTTCACTCTTCATTCACCTGAACAGAAAAAAAAACGAAGTATCGCGCGCTTAAAACAGTGTCACATTAAGTATGCTATTTCTTCCTTCGCGCCGAGAGAGCGGATATTGGTGCGTTAACCAGCACATTATGTACAACTGTGCTTATATGAAACATTATAATAAGCATTGTATACCAATCCGCGTCATATTCAAAACAAATTCGACATAAATGCAGCCTTGTCAATAATAAGTGACGCTTTGGGTACAGCACCCCACAACGGCCAACGGTCTTAGGAAAAACTAGCCGTTACAGAAAATTAAGTAAACTGAGTAAATTAAAACTACCATAAGTGGTCTGACCTGTATATTGTAGCTAGTGAGACTGGCCTAAGCGAAGATCACAAGCCTGAAAGCACAAAGCAAAAGCTTACCACTCGACCACAAATTATTTGCTCCGGGTGTAGTTTTCAACGATGATTTATGTCAATCGCTGGTACAGTCGTGGTTCAGTCAATTCGTTTCACTGTTACTTGCAAATATAATAATAAAGCTTGCAAAGTAAACAGAAGCTCAATAGAATATGAAGCAAGATCTTATTTATTTACCCATCTTGAATAATTTTTTATCGGAAAGGTGCATCTTACTATATTTTGTTATCACATTTAATTAGTTATATAAGTAAAAGTAAAATGGTGAAGTAATCGTCCCCTTTCTAACGTGGCTCGGCTTGCCAAGAACTGTTATTTCTGTTATTTCGATGCTGTCTATATAATACACAATAACAGAATATATATTTCGCCAGGCACTTCTTACGTCAATTTAGCTCGTGACCCACTAAACCGTGTTCAACGGCATTGAGCGTTCGATGAAACAAATAGAAGCTCAATGAAATAAGATTCAATACGTTTCTGGTTGGTCTTAGACAGAAAAGTAAGGATATTTTTTTATTCCTTCTGAATTTATAAGATTAGTATTGCTGAACACACGCGAACGCAATGTGTAAAGTGTTAAATTAAACCAGTTACCTGTAGCCGTTGTAATGGTCTAATTATGTAAACAATGTTAGATTTAAAATAAACACTTTTAAGCGTTGCTTCCTCTGAGATCTAGGCGTTAGGAAAAAGTTTTCTGTGGAAAACTACAACACCAAAATTGACTCGGTAGGTAAAATTAAAATGTATTCCAGCAGCAGGAGAACCCCCCGCTTTGACGAACTGGTCTCATTTTAGAATGAGACAATCGGCAAGTGAATATTCATCATATGGTTATAACAATTAGACATCGATGTTTTCTATAGTAACTTCTACAAATTGCATTACCGACCAAGTTAAATAGCTCGATACCAGCTGTGTGCTTCAATATCGTTATACTTCAGATGCGAAATAACTTCATTTAGTGAAATTGTTCTGTAATTTTGTAAACTTAACGCCTCCATCTAAGAAAACTGCTATTATTATTATTATTACTATTATATCGCTATTACTATTGCCGGCTTGCATGCGGGATCGCGTTTACCGATAGTGTCCCCGATTATCCCTGAACAAGTACAAAATTGTATTGGTTTAACTTTAACGGTTATATACGATATATATATATATATATATGTACGATATACTAACTCGAAAAGATTAGCTGATAACTAAATTCAATTATTAGGACATATAATAAAGGATAGGTAGCGTGTGTTTTTAAGCGATTTGGACTTCCTTATATGAGTTAAATTATCACGAAGCCGTAACCCAGCGAAGCGTGTTTGACAAAATTGTACATATACACATATGATCATGCTCTAGCGGAACGGTACTATAAACACAGTTTACATCCACCGCGTCTCATGAGATTGTAATTTCACTAACTTACTGGCTCGAACTCTATTTTACAATTACATTACCAGTAAAAATATGTTATTTTATAAGATGCATAATATAATTATATCGTGTTTGGTACACGAAGCCTAAAAGTGGTACACTCTTTTCTAGAAAAGATACCGTCAGCCCCAAGAGCAACTGCAACTCACAGGATTCCCACCGGTCTCTACAACGTTCATGGTGCCGTTTAGTTAGAGACATTCGTATTCGGTTTGTGATATGAGCCCGGGAGAATTCAGACGAAATTATTTGTAAGTAAAAAGACAAGTTTCGTTAGGAAAAACGTTATCTAAAAGCAGTAGCTAGGTTCAATACTAGAATCCGATATGTGAGCCATTGGTGTGGTAATAACGTATCTAAACCGTTTGCACAGCTTTCTAGTCATGATCGTGTTATCATCTGTAGCTAATATGGCATTGCATAATAGCCTTGACACATATATCATCCTAAACAGTACATGACAGCTCCACCTCACAGAAATGAACCACAGAAGAGATTAACCGCGGCTGGCCATTAACGGATAGCGCGAAACCCAGCGAGCTATTTAATAGGCCTTCTTTGACGTATCGTTCAGTCATTTATGACTTCATATTCGAAGCTCGCTGTAGAAAGGGTCCTTCGAAATAGTTCGCTTCTGAAATAAAATTTGCCTTCGTCTCTGAATTTGCAAATTATAAACTAACTTGTTAATAGTAAAACAGAAAAGACTGTTTCTGTAATATTCGTACTAGAAGTTGTTTAACTTAACTTAACTAACTTTTTATCGCAGTTGGTGAGTCAGAATATAACGAATATCAATTCTTCTAATAGTTTCTCTTGATGGATGCTTGAACTGAGTCTCAGGTCACTTTGTAACCGTATCAATTCATGTCTCTGTTGCAGATATTGGCCTAACCAGTCCACCTTTAGAGGGAACTTGTCTCGGTTTCCGATGCTGTTTCGTACCGCAGTTACCAGCAAATGCACAAAAACAGTTGCGTGCCTTTACCTTGCTTAGCAACAAGACTGAGTAGAAGCTTCAGTTTCATTTAGTAAAAATAAAAACTCGCTTTGTTTTTCTATTTAAATGTACATCATTTATTTGGTTCGTACATATGTCACAGCTCTTGTTAATTAATGCAAATGTAGTTATAATCTATGTAATTATGACGATAGTTATGACATGTTTTACATTATTTTTATTACTCATATTATCAGTATAGTCATCGTCTTTTAAATATAATGATTGATATCGTGTATATATACATTGATCATTAAAGAGTACGGATCTTACTGATCCTGACAAGGTGGCATGACTTATTTTCCTTTTGGTGTGTGTTGGCCGCCATTTCAACTATTACTAGTGATAATAAATAATTTTACTTATTGTTGTCATTATGATTATTTTGAGTAAAAACTTGTCTTAAAGGTCAACGAAGTTCCACGTTTTTTGCTTAAAAAACCCTTTCTTCCTTGAGTGGGGAATTTTTCGTATGAATTTTCTTCCACGCCTCGTTTGCGTGCGATAAGTTCGAAGAAATATTATTTCGTTTCATTACTATATGATCGTATTGTATTTGATTCTAGCACCGCTCTTTGACATCGTATGCTAAAAATAACTTTTTTTTTTTCATTTCATATTAATTTCTAAAAATTTAGTAACTTCAGAATCATTCATCGAGCGTGTGCCACCTCCGCAGCCATTATCCATACCTGTTGCTTTATAATATGTGGCTGTGTATATTTCTCTACACAATCAAATACTCAAATAGTTCTCCAGTTTTCCGTGACAGCGGCGTTCAATTGCAATAACATAAATATGACTAGCACAGTAAGTAGGCAAAGATTATCAAAAATTTGACGCCACCAAATGCAGACTGAACACGACAATCTTGGAACTATTTCAACTTATATTTGTTATTACGTTTTTGTAAAGTTGTTATAATAATATTATTACTGTTTAATCATTTCGATATTATGCTAGGTAATATGTGGTATCTTCTGGTATCGTTTGGTATCCTCCTCATTAATATTATAATCTTTCCTTATATTATTAATAAGCACTAAAATATATTTTACTCAACTTGTCTCCTCTGTATGTATTGCGTTGGTTATAGGCCAGAGGAGTGCATGCTCCAAAGTACCACACCGTTTATCACGTACAGTCGAGTAATAAACATTTTTTAGCTTTTAACCCACATTTGTAGCGCGTCGGCCCATGTTATTATGGCCTTGCCCTTTTAATATTTAAATGTTTGAGTGAAACTAGTCTGTATTTATATGGAAATTATCTTCATCTCTCAAGCCTGCATATGCGCATTAGCGATAAATATACTTCGATCATCCCTATTCCCATCTAGCAAATGTGCCATTGTATTCCAATGTCCCATGTTCATCTGTGGTTCAAATACCGTGCTTATCTCATCCACTGAGAATTCCTTCAATATTATATAGTTTTTTTTTTTTCGAGATTTAAGTAATTATACCTTTCTAAGATGATTATATGCACTACATTCCTAAATATATTGTATTCATGTTTTTGCGTTTGGTATACATCCAATAATAGTGGTAGTCGAGTTCTGGTTACCTAGCTAGCATGATGAAAATATGGCGCACGTATTGTCTAACGGATCGTTCTTTAAGGGCAATTGTGTAAGAAACAAGAAAATCAAAAGCGTAAAGGCGTTTATTAGAATGGAATTGTCTGCCTAAAAACAGATGACAATATGTAGATTATGCGCGGTGCTCAGAAAAAAAAATTAAATGAAGACTAGAACAGACAAGTCAAACAGGAGAGATCGTGTGCCCCTAATGTGTTAAACATATCGTAGAAGTTTACTGCTGGAAACTAACGATCTTCAACCTCCCTTCCTGGTCATTGTGGTATTGAGCATAAATATTACTATTATATGATACAAGCCTTCAAAAAAA